TCCACAAGGTGAGAAGGAGAAATCATCACCAGAAGTGTCTTTGTTGCTGTTTTAAGTGATGTGGCTTGGTATTGTAGTGCACAGGCAATCTGGTCATGGAAATACGTTGCTGTACTGGCACTGGTCAAGAATGGGACAAAACCAGAGCTTATGCTCTACGCTAACCGGCTTACAGTCCAAAACACAAAGCAACTGTTGGAAATCCTGGGATGGGGAAGGCCAAGCTGTTGTCAAGCATCACAGCAAAGAACAGTCTTTGGAAAGAAGATGAAGAAAAATGGCGATATAGCTCTGTCATTAACAGTGATGCTCTCCCAAGTGTAGGGTGTTGTTGCTCGGAATCGTTTCCCTGGATATTTAGCAAGTGGATGGTGTCAGCTGGCTTTGGAGGCTGGTCAGAGACAGAAGTCAACCTCAAAGGCCAAGGAAGAGATCCTGGATTGGTTACAGAAGGGACTACATGGGATGCAGATGGAAAAATGGCAAAGGGAATAGATAGGATGCTGCTGCACACAGTCTCTCTGCTCCTCTCCAATAGACAAAAATATTTGTGTATTAAGCATTCAGCTTCTTTGTCTTTAAAGACCAAAGTCTTGCCTCCTTCAAGCTCTGGAACTTGACCAGAGATTGTTTGTTTCATGTCTTGGCTTGTAGCAGGAACAGGAGATACCATGCAAGATCTGGACCTTGGTGTCTTTATGAAAGCAAGCTGTGGCCTGTGAAAATTTTTGTAACCTGTTTAAGAATATATCTATAAACAAGAACTTATTTTTATCACCACATGCACTTGGCTTCATATTGAATTGCAGAATCCTGATGTTTTCTTGCTTTTCCAGTGTCCTAGAATGCAGAGAGGAAATTGGTGGTAGGGATGGCATGGATTAGAAGGCGCAAGGGACCACAGGTGCTAATCCTGGCTCTGATACTGGCTCACTGTAACCCTGGGCAAATCACTTGGCTTTGCAGTTCCCTGTCAGTGAAAAACAGGGGGCTCATGCTTGCAATGCTTCTCTTGTGAAATGCAAGGATTAGAAGAGCTGGGGTGTGTCCAGAGCATCCAGGATGTGAGAGCAAAGTGCTCTTACAAAGTCTTTTGTCCTAATATAGCTCCTCTCCCTATTATCACAGCAGGTAGTGTGCATGCTGCCAGCCAGAGGTTGGGTCTTTCCTTTCCTTGAATATCCTTGCAATGGCTATTACAGATCGGGGTTTCCTACGTTTTTACAGTGGGAAGACTGATGCTGCCAGTCTCACATACACAGGATTTTTTAAAAAGCGTCATTCACCAGTAAGTTAATTTCATCCCCAAATGGAATAGGATACTAGTTCTGGGGACTGTTTGGAGATTTTTAGAATTCACTTGCTTGCTTAGAATAAATGGGGAAAGTAGTATTCATTGAGATGAGAACCTGTCATATCTGGGAATGATGAAAGAGATGGGGAAACTCAGGAAAATACTTCTTAGTGGTTTTGTCCCCTAGAGGCTGTGTGTTATTTATCTTTTCCTAGATCCTCTAAGAATTGGCACTGGAATACTTCCAGTCTTATAGCACTTTGCTAAAGTAAAGAATTTCAGATGCTGATGTGGATTCAGGAGATCTGAATTCTTTTCTGTGCCACAGCTTCAGGAAAGATGTAGTGTTTGCGTGCCTTATTTTCCAGACTCTGCAATACTGCTCTTTCTTTCCTTTGCATTTTCTCCTTGGCTCTTCAGAGTGTGTGTTCTCTTCTTTTATGGAGTCACTCAGGCACACTCACACATACACAGATAGATGGGTAGATACAGAACATTTAGCGGGGATTGTGTAAGCTGTACAGAACCGGTGCACCACTTGGAAATGCTTAAACCCCTCTTGTTGGCCTGTTTGGAAATAACGTGTACTACTACTGTGCCATGTAATGCGCCAGAAAAACATTGGCTTGCACAAAGACAGAGGCAGGTGCTGAATTATGCCCTTGTTTAATTGAAAATATCCTAGTTGCGGGCTATCCTAAAAAAAACACATTATACTGGAGGGAATAGGGTCAGCGGGTGACCAGCTATAAATCCGAACTCAGAAATCCTAGCTGCAACATAACCACGTCAGATTTGTGGATGATCCCTGCAGCATTTATTTCTTGCACTTGACCACTGGGGAATGTGTTTGTCGTCCTTCTCACTCCTGTCACGTTGGGGGCTTTGTCAGATCAGAATACATCGTTGCTGTGCTCCTCTGTGTCCCTTGTCTTGTCATAGGCACAAATCTTTTTCAGATGTTCTCCCCTGTTCATTTCCATTATTATATCTGGTGCTTCTAGGTGGCAAGCAAAAATGAATAACCTTGTAAATGCTCCCTGTCTTTCAATTTGTTTTATTTTTCATACAACATGTCAGTGCATTTTTGTTGAGTGTTTTTAATAAGATGAAGTTGATGAAAATAAATTGCTTTGCAGTTCCTGCTGTGGGTGACAGAAATGCTGGGTCTGTAATTTTCCAAAATTGTGCATTTGAAACCAGTGTGGAGAGTGTTCTGTATGCCTGTAACTGCAATCATCTTTGTCAAATACCTCCCAGGAAAAGAAAGCAGCTAGCAATTTGAATTCTGGGGGCAAGATGCACTGCTGTATCCAGCTTCTGCTGGGTACAGTGGGAGAGGGAGCTGTCAAGGAGAATTTTAGGATTGATTCCGTGCCAGGCTCGGGTCTGCCATATGGGATAGTTAGCCAGATCTGTCTCTAGTATGAGAGGGAGAATGAATTATATAGCAAAACCTCTTACCAGAGCGCCTGTTAGCCAAGGCTTGGAAAGTGAGGATTAGGACTTGAAAGTGAGACACCTCAGTGCCCATGGCTGCTGCGTCTGCGCTTTCTTCTGAGCACTTTGGAGTCTTGCTCAGAAAATGTAACGTGGATGAACGGTGATCCCCCTGTTAGCAAGGTGCACTCAGTACACACGCTGGTAACTACCCGTCTCTTCTTGGAGAGAAGATGACCCACAGATACCAAACGTGATTTTCAGCTCAAGATTTTTCTCTTTTTTACTCATTTTAATGAAATAAAGGTCATATTATCGTATTTCTTGTAACTGTTTCTATTTTCATAAAAATTGCAGAAAATACCATTTCAATTTCCTGAAGTTTAGAATTTCATTTTTTGTCTATTTTTTTGTGCTTCTGTACTGCTTTCTTAGCTGGCCAAACAATATTCACGTCCGTCTCTTACTGCTTTCTTTGCTGAATTTCTGTAGGGCAGGGAAGTGCTTTCTCCTTGTGCTGGCTGGGAGCTGAGACATGGAAGCCGCACAGGAGTTGATGGTGGGAGCTCAGGTCACTCTTTCACAACTTCCAGGCGAATGCCATTATTATTAAGGAATAATTTCATTGGAACAGCTTTTATTCCTTCTACTGTTCCACCTTTTTTGGAAATGTTGAAAATAGCAATAACCCCCCAAATTTATAATAAACTTCTCTTTCCATTTCAAAATTATAAATGTTCTCTGAGGTTATTCTGCTTGAGGTACAGAACTGGATTGATTATTTTCATTCACTGCTCAATTTTGAAAAGTTGGATTAATACTGGTAATAAAACCATCTTGCTGTAAAGCACAGCATTGAGAGGCAGGGATCATACTGCACGTAGAGCTCAGCCTGGCCTGCTGTGCTGTGAGGAGGAGGAGATTTGGATTCTTGTTTGTAAGCTTTCTGGTCATGTCTGTCAGTCAAAGGTTTGAACGCCTTGTTCACCCCTGCCTTGTAGTTTCACAGAAACCACCTTTCAGGTCCCGTGCCTTGCAGCCCTGAAACTCACTTCAAGGCAGTTGGGCAGTAGGGGAGTACAGGTTTCTGCCTCTCTTTCAGGATGTAAACCCGCTGACAGAGCCAAAATTTTTCAGTAAAAATAATAATTTGTTGGGTTTACTTGTCATGTCAGATTCTGAATTAAATAATCTCACAGATTATAATCTTTGAAGAAGTAATTTCTTCATTCTTTATTAGAACCGTATATGCTGGGCAAACAAGCAAGGAGACAGCAAAGCACAAAATCACAGTAGAGATGGAAAAAGTCCAGGGAGGTTTCAAGCAATCCTCTTGCCAGAAGAAGTCTATTGCTTTGTTCGTATTTTATATGGTTTATTTTGAAATGGTTCTGTTGATGGTGTTCCTGCCACTTCCCTGGAGAAACTATTTGATTCCCACTATTAGGCAATATTTCCAGAGTTTTATACTAAGTTTTGCTCTGCTTGCCTGCCTTTCATTACCCCTACTTAGAACAAGAAGACAGTCCATCCACGTCAAGTCCTTCCCTTCCAGATTTCACTCTTCACTCAGTGACTGCCAGGAGTGCAGTGTGAGGTCTGGGGCTTCCTCTCTGCTCCCAGGTCCCCGTTATGCTCCATTTATTTGCTCAGTGTCACATTTTCCAGGTTTGCGCTTCGAGGGAGGGTAGCTACTCCAGCAAAACATGCTGTTCAGCAGCAAAAGCTGAAGAAGCCCTGAAGTAGGCTGCACACATGTAGTTCTTTTTATCTTTTTTCACCTTTTTTATAATTCCCTCTGGTTTGTTGACATCTGTCTGGTTCTCAGGTGTTCAAGACAGAACAGTATGTGAGTGCAGCTTCGCCACAGCTGTTTTTGTAAAGGGAATGTCAGGTTGGTTAAGATACCTGAGGCTTCCTAGTACACAGTCTCACTCCACAGTTACTTTAAGAGCTGCTATGAAAGCTTATACCTGATTACTCTCTTCTTCCCCTCCTGGCCTTTTGAGTCATTTTTGGCTTCCAGATCCTCTCTCACTATTATATTGAACACTGAATCCAACAGTGGCATGTCGGAAGTTTGAAGAACCCCTGTTGAAAATACTAATCACTCCTGAATTTAAATAAAAATTCTGATTCTCTTCTACTGTTCTTCCCAGAAGTGTTCTCCCTGCCCACATGTAAATAGAAGTGTTTGTATATAACTGTGTGGGCGGGGGTTGATATGATAATGTGCTTACAAAATCCTGGCTTTGTTATTTTCTAGGTATTTGGTGCTAGAACACGTGTCAGGTGGGGAGCTCTTCGACTATCTCGTAAAAAAGGGAAGATTGACACCAAAAGAAGCCAGGAAGTTCTTCCGACAAATCATCTCTGCTTTAGACTTTTGCCATAGTCATTCAATATGGTGAGTACAGCCATTTCCAATGGGAGTTACATAAAAACACAGTATAAAGGGATCTCATTTCTTGATGTAAAGCTCTAAAAGCGTTGTGTAAAGTGCTGATGTATAGTTTAATTCTTGGCCACCTGTGAGACAACGTGCCAGTCACAGGTAGACTTTTCACGGGCAGGATTGTCTGTCATTTCTCACTGGAGGAGAATTCATTCACAGGGAATGCTGTAACCAGAAAAACCAAAGCCACCAAGGAAAAGAAGTTTAATTTCCATCATTCTTGGGGCACTTGCTAATAACTGAGAGTTACATCAAAATGAATCCCTGATGAAACTTGGGACAGTTATGAACACAGCAAAGTCATTTTATGGCTTACTTCAGTTTTTGGAAACCTGCTGGCTTTTGGCAACCTTCACTGAGTCCCTTCTGGGTATTTGAGTCACTGTTGCCTTTAATTTCTTTTCCAGTAGGGAAGAATTTCCTTGATCTGACTGCTGTTGATACTCAATAACTCCATCACACGATTTAACCATCAAGTGCGGATTAACCTGTGCTTTCAGGTGGTGCTTTAAATTGCACCAGTTTCTCCTTCATCTTCAGCAAGTTTAGATAATTTAAATTACACTGAAATCAAGTTGTTATAATCAGTCTGAGCACAGAGTTTCTGGATAGCTGCTGACCCATAACTGCCTGCTTATTTCTCAGAAATGCAGCTCCTCGCAGTTCGATTGGCTGGGGGAGACCATTTACATTATGTCTGCACGGCTGCTTCTCCACAGCCACAGACAGACGTGGATCCCCCCCAGGAGGCCGAGGGCCACTGGTAGATACTGCAGTAGTTGGATTTACATAACCACTGTGTGGTTACTTCTCAGTAACTGTTCCATGATTTTCTGTACCCCCCAGTTTTGTGCTGAGAGCTCACAAGCCAGATGTCCACAGCATAAATGACCACAGTAAAAATGGGTGCCTAAATATTTAAGTTGCCCTTCTAGCCCAGTCCCTCTGCATCTCTGACTCATTTCAACAGGAAATATTAATATGCACAAGAGCATATTTCTAATAAATATGAATGGAAATAAGAGCCTTTCTTGAGGATATATTAAGAGGAGTATACTGTTAGCAGAAGATGCAGCTCAGAGGGGGTGGATCTCGGTGAGAAGGTCCTGAGGACAGTGCCCACCTGGCACAGGCAGGGTTACAATAGTCAGAGAAGTTCCCAGAGGAGCCGAGAGCAGGCTGTGTGCCCTAAAGAGGAGATCTAAGTTTCCTCTATTGGCAGAGACCTCTGTCAAGTATTACTCTGCTCATTCCACAATTTTGCCTCCCTGCTAATCAACTGGGTTGAGTGATTATGACCTTCTGATAATCCCCATAATCCTTGGTAGGTTGTACAGCTGTTATTTTTTACGTACATTGGGCAGTGTAACCACTGGTGGATTGCATGCATACATGTTTCTGTTCGCTACTTGGCTTAACACTTAGAGACCCAATCCAAGAAGACTCAAAAATGTTGAAGTATAATTGAAGAGAAATTAATTGTGCTTCCAAATGAATATTCCTGAGCAATATGAATCTCCGTTGAGATAGAAGTTTCTATGAAAGCATGCATATATACACATACATACGAGTCCTTTGGGCTTGTGATGCATACCGCTTGATATGGCAGACTTTAATAAACAGAGGATCATGGTGAGGCTGTCAGACAGGCACTTCTGCAGGTTTAACGATATGTGGAATTTCCAAGGAAGAGTGCATGTCTCTCTTGAGGAAACCATTTTCCTCTGTTAAACATATTGGGCTGTGGGCAGTAGTCTTGTTTAGAAGTAAATCCCCTGTCTCCTTGCCAACTCCCACTCAACTAGCATCTAGTGCTGAATAAGTTAGTGGTAAATCATCAGCTCTCCTTCCCTCCAGGTCACGCTGAGACTTGTGTGGTGTGTGTTGTATTACACTCTATGTTGTATTCTGGACAGTTATCATTAAACTCTTTCTGAAAATCAGAGCATGCATAAATACATGTGTGTGTGCGTGCGAGTATAAAAGCGCTTTCCCAAGCAATGAAGCCTGACCTTGTCCCGTCGTGGGGCAGTGAGATGACAAATCATCTCATCAGCCAGGTTATCCAGTTATGACCACGTTGAAAAATGAAGGCTTCTGCTTTGGTTAATGACTAAATGTGGGTGCCTGTAACCTACTGACAGAATAGATTGATAGCCTGGTGTCCCTAGCCCCGCATCATTGTCCCATCTTCTTCCTGCATCTCCCAAAACACTGTGCAATAGCTATGGCTTACTTTCACAGCAGTATGTTACCACATTCAGCTTTCACTGCTCAAAATGTATGGATGCAGCAGGATTCCCAGATCAAAGAATCAGAAAGGATTCCCCAATCTTTCTGTCAGTAAAAGGCTTCTGCTGCTACTGTGTGGAGAGATCACCTGTGTCTGAGAAGTGTTTCCAAGCAAGCAGCTCAGACAAGGAAGCAGAAGAGGTTTGGAAATGGAATTTGTGGGTTGTTTTAGAAAAGCATGAGCTTTCTGTTCTTGTTTTATTTAATGGAAACAGCAGGGGAAGATTTGATGTGCCTCACTGTGAGGTGCAGTCACGGGGCTTTATGGTACGCCTTGGCCATGGGGGAAATCTTCTAGGCAACCCACTGTAGGGTTCTCTAAGCCTTTTGTGTGTACATAGCAGTGTGCCATGCTAGGGACCCACGAGCAACCCTGGGTGCCAACAGACAGCACGGTGCAGAGGTATGACATGGGATCCTGCAAACAGTGTGTCTGCGTTAGCTTGCTGCTTTGCCTGAGCTGGCAAGCACAGCGGTTAGCTCAATGATGCAGCATTATTGCTTCTGCTTCCAGCTCTTCCTCTGTGCTAGCTCCGAGGGCTCTGCACCATGCTGCAGTGCCCAGAGCAGATGCGCTCAGCAGTGGTGTAAGAGATGGCAGAGGAACCTGGGGTTCCTTGGACATCTGCGTAAGAGCATCCTAGCCTAGGCTGTTTTCTTTGGACACAACATGATTTTTTTCTAAGATGCCATTCACCTCATGCTGGCTGTCTGCTGTCCTAAATTCAGGGCCTTTAAGATGTCTCAGCTGGGTGCCACAAATCTGTAGTCCCATTTGAACATCCTGCCTCTGTACGGTGGGAGAGCTCTCCGCTAATTCAGTGCCGGCTATATTTTCTGTCGGAAACAATGTGGGAGCACGTATCAGGGTAGGTCGCAAATCCTTGCTTTCCTCAGGAAGAGTCTCTTTTATCTCAAGCGAGGGAATGCTGCAGCGGATGGAGGGTGGGAGCCAGGCGGGGAGAGCTGGCGGGCGCCCCATTGGCTGCGTGTGACATCACCGGGAAGAGCTGGGATTGGCGGCGCGCGGATTTTGTGTGTGTTGGGTTTTTGCTTTGGTCAAGCTCATATTTGGTGTCTGTTTCTCACAAGCTGACAAATAAAAATATGATTACAGAAAATGCCCCGTGGCAAACCTTATTATGGCTTCAGAGATAACAGATAATGCCAATTACTGCACAGGGCAGTGGTGACATTGAGAGGAAATCCCCTGCGGTAACGAGCAGCATGATGATTATTTCATTTTATTTTTATTTTGGTTGGGTTTCATTTTGTGCGTATTTTTTTTTTCCCAAGCATGCACAAGAGGGGGTTAAGGCAGGTTCTTTATGAATATTGATAAATGACAATTATAAGGGCCCTTTCTCCTTTCATTGCCTGGGGCTGTGCCTGCTTGAGTACGCACAAGGCTCTTGCTGAAGTGTGTCTGTGTGTGCATGCGTAGGCATGGGGGGGTGTGACTGAGAGAGCTGAGGCAATGAATAAGAGCTTTGTTTGACTTTGCCTTGTGTTCTTCCCATCAGTGCAGGAGAGGGAGAAGGCTCCTTATAAAATAACGCTTCAGGATTTCACAGCAGTAGTGCCAAAATCTCTGGTGTATTCCTGCAGGCAGGAGCTGCAGAGCAGTGTCAGTAAAGGAAGCATGCTTTTAGGGGGAAATCTGGGGTATCTTTGAGAAACAGAGAAAGCTGAAGAATGCCAGGTAGCATGTTCTGTTGGATAGTGCCACCCTCCTAGTGACTCCCACTCTGCCTTGATTCATTTATAAGGAGGATGCTATGGTGTTCTGCAGGAATGGTCTGTCAAGCACTTAAGACTGCAGCAGCTGGACAGTTTGAATTGACTCAAGACCTCCAAATGTGAAACTGGTCTAAACATTGTGGGGGCAGGCCAGGGAGGGCAGGGTATGTGGGTTCTGGTACTTGAGTCTTTAGTTTTTCAAGTTTTCTTTCAGATCACCAGGTGAGGAAGGTACCTTTTTCCCCTGTTGAAATCTGAGATTCACCAGTCATTACCTGAATCCAGGAGTTTCAGATCTGTGATTGAGACTTAATATAAAACAGTGAGGAATTGTCAAATTCCCCTTGTACAGGTGTCATGGTTTA